AGAATGTGACAATGAATATATGTATGTTCATGTATAACTGAAAAATTGTGCTCTACACTAGAAATTGACACCACATTGTAAACTGATTATAACTCGATAAAAAAAAAGAAATGTAATCTAGGGAAATAACTAGTCACAGAGGTGTTGGAGGAGCTAAAAACAAGTGCTAATGAGGCCACTCAGAAAGTAAAGACTACAACCAGCTACTACTATCCACTGGGCTTGAGGGACAGAAAAGGGCTGGTGTTATCAGCACAAGAGCCAGGGCTACCCTGTGGGAGCTAGAACCTTGGAGAAGGAACCACCCAAAAGGAGCTGGAAACAAGGCAGGGTTGCCTAGTGGGAACTGGACCACAAAGGGTGAGGCCTCTCGCCTGGAGCTGGAACCACAGAAGAGACACAGCACGGCTAGACATACTCCTAAAGCAGAGAGGAAACACCTCAGGGCCTCCCCTTTCCAAACTTCATCTTCTGCCAGGAAGTCCCATTAGCTGAACCTAACCAGGAGGCAGTGAGTAAGGGAGCCTGAAAAATGCAGAGCAGCCCCTTGGGAGTCAAGGCAGGGAATGGCTGGGAACGAATCTAAGAGAAAACAGGCAAATAACCTGTATAAGAATTGGGAAATGAAATACAAATAACCAATAGACATAGGAAAATATATTCATCCTCATTAGTAACCAGGGAAATGCAACTTTAAACCATAATGAGATACCATTTCCCCCACACATACACCAAAAGTGTTAACACACTAAGTGTTGATGAAGATGTTCAGCAGTGGGAACACTTGTACACACCACTGGGAGTGTAGACTGGAAAGGACATTGGCGTCATCTAACAATGTTGTGCAGAACATTCCGTGTGTTCCAGGACTTCCACTTCTAAGAACACACCCTCAGGAAAATCCAGCAATGTGCATCAGGAGACGTACAAAAATGTTCACAGAAGAATTGTTAAGGACAGTAAACCACCCAGCTAGAACTTACCCAAATGTCCATCAACGAGAGAATGGATAAAGTGTGTTTTATTCTTATAATGGAATATATGTAAAAATGAATGAAGTATACCTACACACGCCAACACAGATGAATGTCACAGGCATAATTCTGAGCAAAAAGGATAAGTAGGGAAAAAACGTGAACTAACTTTGTTTACATAAAACATGTAGAGTTATATATACTGTTTAAGAAATGAATCATATGCAGGAAACTGTAAAGAATGAATGATAAGCAAGTCAGAGGAGTGGTTACCTCTGCATGAGAGTAAGGTGGATATGATCAGGAGAAGTCCCACAAACATAGCTACTCTTTTTTAGGTATTAGATACTTTATAACTAAAAACATGATTTTAGGGGTCTTAAAAGCTATGTTCCTCTCTCTAATTGCAACGGGGGATAAAATAATAGTAACAATCACACACACTGATGCAAATTCTATGGTTAAATTTCCACCTTGGTATCTTTACTTATGGGTACTGACCTTGGCACAGAAGTGACTAAAACAGATAGAGTCATCACATCCATGGATCCTGTAGCCTGGGGAGGGAGGCAGACATTCAACAGACGAGCAAGCACATAATTATTTAATCCAGCTGTGCTAAGGGCTACCAAGACAAAGCATGGGGTGCATTGAGAACCTGTCACAGAGGAAGCTCACCTAGCTTGCAGAGTCAAGAAAGATGTCTTTGAGGAAGTGACATTCAAGTTGAGACTTAAAGGATACACTGCTTATTGTCACCATAAACAATAAATATTTATTTAGGATCTATAACCCAGGTGGAATGTCAATGTGCATGTACCTACAGAAAAAACAGCAGCAGGGGGTAGCACGTGTTAGTACCAAATGAACAGAATGTGCCTTATACAGATGTTTGGAATCTCCAAGGGTTATAGACCATCTTAGAAACATTTTATGTAAAACATGAGATTTGAGCAGGGCCTTAACAAGAAAGTTGGAACTAAGAGAAGGGAGGGGGAAAAGAGGCATTCTTGATAATAAGGGCAAAATATAAATATATGGGCAGAGATAGGAAAAGGCAAGACAGATTTAGACAAGTTGCTTAAATCAAGGAGAGATGTAGGAAGGTAATTAAGGATAAAGGTTCAGCTTGTAGGGGAGCTTGTTTTATCTTGGATGGAATAAAAAAAAAGGCATTCTTTGAGACTCTCATGAAAGTCTTGAACTCCTCCTCACCAAAAAAGAAAAAGAAAAAGAAATCACATTCATGCATTCTTAAAGCTGCATACAATTTTGGGGGTTCACAATCCCCATGAACTCCCATTTAGGAACCCCTTCTATAAGCAAGTTTCACTAAAAGGATGTGAGTGTAAGAAAGGCATATTCCAAACCCTGTTTAGCACGACTCACTTGAGAGGATAACAGCAGTTAGCAGGGAGGTCAATTGAGAAACTACCACAATACATGCAAGCCAGAGCTCATATGGCCCTAGGTTAAGGCAGCGGCTCTAGGAATTCATTAATTAAGTAAACTAATATTTACTGAGAGTTCACTCCGGGACAGGCCTGGTGCTCAGCGTTAATGAAGAAGGTAAGACCACTCTCTCAGGAGCTCAAAACTGGGCAGGACCAGAAAGGCAAGCAGCCACGGATGTGGAGAGAATCAGAGCAGCAGCGATGGTCTTTCTTAGAACTTTCCACTGCCCATTCCCTAGAGAATCAAGTCAAAGCCTTTACTCTCACATTCAAAGTGCTTCACAAAATAGCCACCACTCACCTTTCTGCTGTCATTTCCACTTAGTTCCCCAGCAGAGCTACTTTCAACATCCACGGACTCACATGCAACCTGCAAGGTGGCCACACTGGACTCTTGACTGTCTTGACACTACTTTGCCTTTTCCTGCCTCCCTTATGTCACTATTTTCCTCCCACCAGCTGTGTCTGGTCAAATGCCTGTTACCTACTCTTCAAGGCCCAGCTGACGTACTGCATTCCTTGAAGCTTTGTGGAATCTCCCCATTCATTCTGCCCTGAGTTATTGGGTGTGCCTCAGTCTCCCCTAGTACTCAGTAAGCTGGAGAGGGCAGGGTGTTGTCCTTTTACCTTATTCTGGGAGGTGCCCAGTTCCTGTGCTGGCAGGTGCTCAATATATACACTCAGCTAAAAGGGGTGGGGGTGAGAGAACTGGGGAAAGAAAAGAGTCAAGGGACACTTGGGAGCCATCAGCGAAGCCTTGGTGGTTGGAATCAGGAAAGGTTAACTTCATGTTCCCCTCCTCCTGGAAGAATTCACCCTTGGAGGGAGGGGGGAGGCCACCCCACGCACACACCATGTGCTCAGTAAATACAGGTTTTAAAACATAGGACAGTCATATCTAGGTAACTTAGATCACCCTATTTATCATGGTAGCAGTTCCCACAGGGCGACGATAAGTTCTCTCACAATTACCAGTTTTGGACTCAGACTTCCACATTTCTATTGGATTATTATTGTTGTTGTTGTTGTTGTTTAATTATTAAGGGAAAAAAAAAGCTTACTTGCAAAGGCCAAATGCTTAAAAAGCCTAAATCAGCCTTGGAAGTATTACAGGGCCACTCGAATAGCTCTTGCTTTTAATTCTTTAACAACTGCGAGTCGAAGAACTTCATTGTGCCATTACCTCACCTTTGTTTGCACTACCAAAATGTGCAAGACGTTGCCAAGGACGACAGAATTCTTCGGCTCGACCGCAGCCGCAACAGGATGGGTGCACACTTCCCTCTTTGGAGTACAAGGGGACGTGGGTGCCCTTCCAGACCGACGGTGCAAAAGGAAGGTGCGTCAGGCAGAGAGCAAGGTCCTAAACCCACCAGGGCGGTGCCAAATCCCAAAAAGGACCGCGTCTACTCAATTTTACTGAAGAAATGGCGGGGCCTAGGACCCCCAGGCGCGCTAGTCTGCGCCGCGCTCTGCTCTCGGGCTCGCGCGACCGCCCGCCTCCTCACGGGGCCACCCACCACAGGTGCGCAGAGTTCCTCGCGCGTCGTCTTCCCGCCTGGTATCCCCCACCCGCTTCCCCGCCTGCCCCGCCCCGGGACGGAAGATCTGCTGATCTGATTGGCCGAGGGCGGCGGGGGCGGAGCCGGGGCTCCTGGAGGCCCGGAGCAAAGGCGCAGGCTTGGTTGGCTGGGCTTATTAGGAGGGGTAGGTGACGCGTGCCCCTGAGGACCGGCTGAGCTGCTTGCTTGGGCCCGCTCAGGATGAGGATGCGCTGGGCGACCCCTCGCCGTGCGGCGAAGCTCCTTGTGCTGCTCCTCCCGTGCTTCGGGCTGGTGGAGCCCTCTGGCCGCGCAGGTAACCGCAGACGCGTCCGCCCGCCGGCCGGCTGGGGACCTCGACGCCGCCAGGTCGGCCGACTTTCCTTGGTTCGGGTTAGGACTGCGCTTCAGGGTCACGTCACCTCTGCTTTGCTCGGGGCTGGAGAGGGACAAGTGACCCGAAAGGAGGTCTGGGGAGAAGGCGCTCCACTGCCATGGGGGGTCCGGGAGGAGGGCGGGGTGGGATGTGGGAGGGCAGGGCTTTTTCGTGCTGAGGGCAAGTAGCCCACTATAGAGGAAGCACCCAGCCTTTACTGGACGAGTCTCCTGCTTTCTTCGTCCTCTCTCCTCTAAAATCTTGCTTCCCTAGAGGATAGGGCTTCTCAACACCCACCCCCCACTCTCCATCCTTCCCATCTCGCCCCAACTTCTCCCCTTGGTTACCTTGGCCCCTCACCGTGGAGAGGCGCTTTCCACCCACAGCGCCAAGAAAGAGTAACGGTTCCCCAACTTCACTGCGTCCATGGTGCACGTCAAAAAGCCATGTATCCTATAGTGACCATGATCATGACTCTCTTATGTTGCCCTCCCCCAAAGCCTGGAGTAGCGACCCTTTCTTCTAATTGGCTTATCGGCTCCAAACGACCCTCAAAACGCCAAAGGTCCCTTGGTGGATCTCGGGTCGCTTGCCGGGAGACCTCCAGCCTCTGACTTCAGAAGCAGTACCAGGAACAGACACCATCGGCTGATTCTCTGGGTAGAGCCTGCCCCACCACCCCACTTGGCAGCAACCGGAGTTTGCTTTTACTTTCTCTTTTTGCCTTGACAAAAGGTGTGCTGAGGACTTTATTCCTTCGTCTGGATGCTTAACAAGCAGTCAATGAGCCGTCCCCACTTACCACTTCTGTTATCTTGAGAGAATGAGGAAGTAAAAGATGGTCAAGGGAGTTTTTTGAAAAACTTTAGTTTGCTTGTGGCATTTACTTTCTTTGCAGCTAGACTAAGTTACTGTCTGATTTACACCTCATTCAGAGTATGAGCAGCATCACCTCATCTACATCAAGAACCTTTTAGTTGAGCCTGTTGTGATTCACACTCTGCATTCTTCTATTTTCCATGTTGGAAACTACCAGCCTTTTCTTGCTATGAGAATTCTATTCTGCTTGCCCCATAAATCAGGGGAGAAAATTATCACTGCAGCAACTAACTATAGCCAAACACACTAGTCATTCAATCACTAAACTCTTGGCTTCCATCTACATTTACTTTAGTCTTACTTGTTGTTTCTCCCCCATAGAACTCAAGATGTCCTTAATTTTTGCAATCTCTGCAATGCCTGGCCTTTCTCATACCCAAAGTAAAGAGCACCAGCTTAATGCCATTAGGTCCTCATAGCTATTTGTTTTCCTGCATCCTTCCTCACCCTTAGAAACTGCTCTGGTCAGCTTACACACATCCTCAGACCAGACTGGTGGCCCTATTAAGGGAAGCGCTGGAATTTTGAAACCCCAGCCATTTGGGTAGCTTGTTTGGCAGTGTGTCAGCTTCACAGTGCTGGTGATGGCGTGCCCTACATCACATCTATGTGGCTAGGTTTGTGCAGGTGGTCTCAGTTGCTCAGATGCTGAAGGAGTACCTTTGTGTCCTTGGGGAAATGCCAGTTGGTTAGTTTACTTCTTTGCCTCCTTGGAGAGCTAACAGCTTGAAGTAAACTAATCCTTCAGGGACCCCTGAGGTTCTCACCAGCCCACATCATCTAGTCTGAACACCAGGACTTTGTGACTCCTACTACACTGCTGTGGACCCAGCTGTCACTTCAGGACCTGTTTTTGAACTGGCAAATCCAGACTTCTGATTCTCTCCTACTGTATACCCTGCACACATGGTAGCATCTCTGCAAAATGTTTGACAGTGTGGGCTGTGGCAGTTCCCCTGAAACTAAAAAAGCTTCAATATTTATTCTTCTTGCCTTCCCAAGCCATCTCCTCTCCCCTTGTCTGTGATTACAAAATGTTAATGTCTAGCTTCTCTTTGGAATGTGCCAAGCTCTTTGGTTTAGGGCTTGTAGCACAGGAGTTACTTAACAATCAGACAATAAGAGATCCTTTTCCTGTGATGGTCTAAAAATTCATTTTCAATTATGATAATGCTAAGTAGCCATTTCCTCTCAAACACCAGTAGAATGTTTCTATAAAATGAAACCCAAAGAAAGTTGTGCTAAGAGTGATGAGGCTTCTTTTCATCAACCTCTGCCTTTTAGACTTGTCCCAATATTGTATTTGGAGGTAAACATTAGAATTCCATTTAAGACCAGCATAAGGCTGTAAAGTGAACAAGATGCGTTATATGACTACCAATAAAGAATCTGTTTGATAAATTGCTCTACAGTCACCATTTCAAAATGTAATACATTCCTGACATATTTTATATATCCTTATTTAACAGATTTTCTAAATAAGAAATTACTTTCACACTTTTTCAGTCCATCTTCCCACTCTTCAAACTACCATCCAAATAGGTCACAAGACTGGGGCAGACTGAAAAGCTTCTGCTAAGGGTAAAGAAAGATATGGGGAAACATCATGAGACTACAAGACTCCCTAGGTTGTATATTAGGTATGAATGCTTGCATGTACGTTATGTATGAAAGTTAATAACAAGTTTCCTTAAATCATATCAATAATTAATGTCTTTGCTAAGTGACCACTATAAGTATTAAGCATCGATATTATATACTTGGTTGAAAGACAAATTTAGAATGAGGCAAGTATCTACAATCATAGATGTCTGCAGTTAGGTGAGAAGTTTGGCGTCTCCTCCTCAGCATAGCTACTCCACACCTCTCCTGTAGTCTTTCAGAGGTCCGATAAGCTTGTTAAGTCTACAGGTGTCCTTGAAGTTAAACATATACTAAATGGGAATGGGTAAGATTTTTTCCTCCAAAGAGTATTTATAAAACAGCACTGTCACCTAGGTGCACGTGCCCAATACAAATGGGATTTGAATGACCTAAAGTGCTCCTAGCGTTAGCATGACATGACAAAGTTGTGGACATCTGTTCAAGAACAATATGCGGTGAACTTAGCAGAGACTAGTAAAGCCTGCAAGGCTAGGGAGACTGAGCACTTTTGGAAGCATAGGATGTCAGTACTGGAAGAGACTTAAATATCATACTCCACTGCTTTCATCTGAAATTTGGAGATTAGAAGACCCTGGGAGGTAGGCCTGTGTATAGCTAGGTGGTAGAGTGCTTGGCATGCATGAGGTCCTGGGTTCAATCCCCAGTACCTCCATTAAAAATAAATAAACCTAATCCCCCCCCAAAAAAACATAAGAAGACCCTGGAGAGATTAAGTGACATCCCCAAGGACTCCCAGCTAACCAGTCGCAGAGGTAGGTCTTCAGTCTAGGTCCACTCACACCTTATTCCACTGCTCTTTCCACTGTTCTAAGGGCTGTAGCTAATCCACTGGATTCTGCAAAGGCAAGTTGGAAGATCTAGCTCTCCAAACCGCAAAGGTAGGCAACACTGCTGCTTGCCCAGTTTATCTGCTTAGGGTTAAAGGGCACAGAGCAAAGTGCCCAGGAAAGAGAGCAGAGAGATTACAGGGCAGGAATGGGGAAGGTTCCAGCAAAGATGGCCACCGCCCACTCTCCTGCAGAAGTAGACTTTTTCTCTGCAGTAATTCCTGATACCTTGGAACACAAGATTTACTTTGGAGAGGGGAGAGGGAATAGTTTGGGGAAGAGGTACCACAAGGTCTGAGTGGCTATTGGATAGGTGGGAGAAGGACATTAGAGAAAGTGTGAGTGGTAATCTTCTAAGATAGTATAGTTTCCCTTTTTGTTAACCATCTTCCTGAACTGTGTTCATAAAGTAGAGAATGATAGAGTGATGTCAAAGAAGATGAGAGGTGGAAGCTGCTATCCAAACATACCAGGCGATAACCCTAGGCAGTATTTTAAAATACAGATTTGAAATCAGAAATAACTTAAAGTTTTAAAGGATTTTGTTGCTGTTCTTTCTGTTGTTTCTTTCGGTGCTGCTACTGCTATTAAAAACAAAAATTTTGCCCTAATTTCAAACTGGAATTGGACTTAATTTTATAGTTGTTATTTACATGGTGGAATTTCCCCTCAAGTCCTTAGTATGAAAATTTTTAACTCCTCAAGCCTGTGAATTATTGTTAGAAAAGGTGTTTAGTGTTAGTAAAACTACTGAATGTGAAGCCAGCATCAAAATGAAAGTGTCTTTAGGGAAGTAAAATTTTTGCAGCTCCTTCTGCTGAACCCTTTGGTTCATTGACAAAGACTGCTTACGTCTGTCTAAACCGTTTCACTTTATGCTCCTCAATGTGAGGTTCTGTGCTATAACTTCAAAAAATGTTTCCTTGTAGAAGCACTGACCAAATTGTTCAATTGTAGTTTACAATAACAGGCGTGAATCTTGATCCACGAACTCGTGTGTGCAAGAAACAGTGCATTACTTTATTTGCATAAAACCCAGTTAAATTTTGTTCTGAGGTCCACGTTCCACCAGGTTAACAGAACTTCAGTTTCTGTCATTACTTCTCCTGGTCATGCAAAACTGCCAAGGGGATATTCAGGGACATTCCTCCCTTTTCCCTCAGTTCACACTGGCTACTTCTGAGTTTTCTGTTGTCCGAACCTACTGGGCCTTGAATCCATAGCTCAGGGGATTCCTGAAGCTCAGGTTTGGCCGCCATAGGTAATCCAGACAGTCAGTCCCCAGAGCCTTTCCCCAGAGCCTCCCGTCACCTTCCTGGAGATGGGTCAGTGGAGCTGCCCTCAGAGCCCAGACCTCCATTTCCTCTCATCTCTTTACGCCACTCTTTTACTTCTCCCCCATCTCCTCTGAGACACATTAATGTCATATAATAATTTACCCTGCCATGGTAGCTAAAGTGTAAGTAAGCAAGGCAGAACTGTGTCCTGAATAGGCTCAGGATGTTTTTCATTGACTATAGGCCACCTGTCGAAATTGAGGAGCTTCTTCATCTCATTAAATAAGGGGGGAGGGGAGATATTTCATTGAATGGCAGTAGTACGTATGAGCACATTTTATCCTCACATCTACCATACAAAGTACAGTTTTACAAAGGAGGAAACTGAGGCCCCACAGGTAAATAACTTGCCCTGATCACACATGGCCAGTAAGTAGTGGAAGCAGACTGTAAACCCAGGCAGACTGGCTCCAAAGCACATGCTCTTACCCCACACTGAACTGCCTCTCTGGCTGTCACTGTCCTCTGACCTTGTGCAGTGCAGTGCAGTTATACAGCTTGGGGAGCGGAAACAGTTCAGTCATGCTCAGACTCTCCTTAGCAAGCAGGGGCCAAGGTACATCGACCACATAATTCAGAATCCTAAGATGTCTTCTCTGACTACCTGTCTTGTCTCAGGTAATGATTCATTCACCATCGTCAATGGAAACACAGGCAAGTGCATCAAGCCACTGAACAACTGGATAGTAGCCGTGGACTGTGACCAAACCAAGGACATGTTTTGGAAATGGGTGTCCCAGCATCGGCTCTTCCATTTGCAGTCCCAGAAGTGCCTCGGCCTTGATATCACCAAATCCACAGATTCCTTGAGAATGTTCAGCTGTGACTCGAACGTCATGCTGTGGTGGAAGTGTGAGCACCAGTCTCTGTATGGGGCTGCCCAGTTCAGGTTGGCTCTGAAGGATGGACATGCCATAGCAAGCACAAATTCATCTGACGTCTGGATGAAAGGAGGCTCGGGGGAAAACCTCTGTGACCAACCTTACCATGGTGAGTGTTGGAGAAGGACTGCTGCTGTGTTTGGTAAAAGTGGCACTGAACGTGGACCACTGATCACAGATAAAGCCATACACTGGTAAGGGTGGTGAGCTAGCACTCAGTTCCAGGCGTTGTGCGGAAACGTTGAGCTACTTCTGTGAGGTCGGTGCTATTCACTCACTTTCACAGGATAAGCTAGGGGAGGTTAAGTGCCTTGTCAGAGGTTCCATAGCCACTATGTGGCACCCTGGGGCTTAAAATCCCTCTGATACCTGAGCATCTCTACTTCCTATGATTCCTGCACTCCAGAGGAAAGGAAATATTAGAGTAACAGGAAATCCTTCACACAGGATAAAAGCCAAATGATCTAGTAAAGCCGAATCTATTCTTTTTTTTTTAAGCCATTAAGGAGAAAAATGCATTTAAAAATCAAAATGGAATAACTGTAGTTCAGATATCCAAGGTAAAACTAGGTAACCATTGTAGATGTGATTTCAGACAAGTTTCTGTAATGCCAAAAACTAGAGTTTTCTGAACAGCGTCGAACTTGGGACACCACCTGACATTCTCAAAGCTGTGTCTTCTGGCAACTTGTAGCTGCAACCTTATGGGTTTAAGTTCTCCTCCTGTAGTTATTGAGTTTCTGGGTTCATACTGCCTGTGTACTTTCATACTAGATGAATCAAGGAACATCATAACTACCCTAAACTCATCTGGGCTCTTTGAGGAGTCGGATGGGCCCGAGAGGCCTCTGCTGGTACCAAGGCTCCGGATCCTCGTAGAGTTCAGGCGAAGGAGAGAAGTCTGCTCTAGGTCCCATGTGGTCGCCAAAACTGTTGACTGAAATAAAATGCACAACCTAAAAGTTGATAGTTATGTTTTACTTGGTGGACATTTCTGAGGACTTCGAACCTCTTCGAGCCTGGGATGACAGCCTCCCAGACACTCTGAGGGACTGCTCCCCTTTTTTTTTTTTTAATTTTTTTTGAGGGGGTGGATAACTAGATTTCTTTATGTATTTTTTAATTAATTTTTAATTTAATTTTTTTAGTGGAGGTACTGGGGATTGAGCCCAGGACCTTGTGCATGCTAAGCATGCACTCTACCACTGAGGTATACCCTCCCCCACTGAACCTATTCTAAGTTAAAAAAGAAGAAGAAAAAAGAAAAAGAAAAAGAGGAAATGTATTTTTTCTTGTCTACAGATTTGGATGTAATGGAAAAACTTTAAGAGTCTTGTGTGGCTTTATTTATTTTTATTTTTGATGTGGCTATCACATTTTGATGTTTGTGATTCAGCGTTTTAAGAGTGGACTTTTTCCTTACTTGCTTCCAAAAATAATTATGTGAATACAGATCTTCCTCGACTTACAATGGGGTAATGCCCCAATAAACCCATCGTAAATTAAAAATACTGTAAGTCAAAAATGCATTTAATACATCCATAACGAACATCATAGCTGAGCCTAGCTGACTTTAAATGTGCTCAGAACACTTACATCAGCCTACAGTTGGGAAAAATTATCTAACACTAACATGTTTTATAATAAAGTATTGAATATTTCATGTAATTTATTGAATACTGAAAGTGAAAGAGTAATTGGGTACAGAAGGCTTGTAAGCGTATCGGTGGTTCACCCTCTTAATCACATGGCTGCCTGGGAGCTGGGGCTGCTGTTGCCCAGCATCATGAGAGAGGATCACACCATGTGTCTCTGGCCCAGGAAAAGATCAAAATTCAAAGTACAGTTGCCACTGAATGAGTATCGCTTTCACACCATCATAAAGTCAAAAAAATCATCAAACTGTCATAAGTTGGGAACTGCGTTGCCTTTGGGGGAGCTGATTATGAACTTTGTTCTGAGTCTAAAGACTCAGTTACAACAAATGTCTGAGTTTAAAAAGAAAGAGTAGACTTATTTTTTAAACTCTAAATATAATTAGCTCTCACCCAAGCAAATCGTTTTTCATTATGTTGCTCTACATTGCATCAAATGTTGAGTATATGTATATTTTTAATTGTCTTATCTAAGTCTTAACTATTATCTCATCTGTGCTCTTTTCTGTCATTTACACAGTTTTACAAAGATTTTCCTCATCTCTTAAGCCTCCCATCCTTCTTGCTATCTGCACAGGTTTTTCTCCTGGGGGAACTTCTTCCTGTTTCCTAGGGAAGATGCAGCAGCTTCTGAGATGGCAGGTTCTGCTGTTATGGGGAAATATTAGAGAACCAGAGATGGGATTTTCCTTTTCTTCAGTCCTCAACCCTTAAGTAGCTGAACAAGTCTGTTTCTGTGAGCCAGCTTCCTCCTAACCTTAAAAAGCAGTCGCCTTCTCAATACTACTTAATGGCAAACTTAAATTTTGTGCTAGAAAAGCCTTTCTCTAAGTTGGCAGCTAAGAGAAAACATGGAACCACACAGAATGTCTCTTGAACTGGATTTGACTTGCTTCCTTGTATTTTCTCGGGGATCAGCAAGGATAATTTTCCTGGCAGGGCTCTTTCTGTATCCTGCCCCTAATTCTTTTGAGGGACATAGTTGTAATTAAATTCCTCAGTCCCCAAAATGCCTTCATTTCAAAATAACTTGGTTTTCTTTGTAATCCTATGTGTTTTATTTTATGCATCTATAATATTCTTCTGAGAAGTGGGCTCCTGTGCTTCACACAGCTGCCAACATGATCAGTGGCCCAAAAAAGGTTAGGAACCCACCTAAGGCATCACCCAGAGAAAGTTGAACAGTGCCCACCAGCAGGAGCCCACAGGTATAAAATGTTTCTTGACCTTACCAAATAAAGCATTTGGAACACTTAATTTCCAAATAAGAAATTCCGAAATTTCTAAGGAAAGACACATGTCGTTCTGACTTGTCAACACATACCTCAAGTTTTGATTTGCACAGAGACCAAATTGCCTCTCACCCATTCCTCTCCAGGCGACAGGCACCATCCAAGTTGCATATGTCAGGAATCTTCAGGTCACCGTGGAGTTTTCTGCTTTCCTCTCCCACCATTCGAATTTAATCAAATATTAAGTCCTGGCAATTTTACCCTTTTAAATTTATATAATCCCTTCCTGTTCTTGGGTTAGACACTGCTGTCTTAAGTTAGGAACTTTCTCTGGGGCTGCTCTCTCAGACTCCTCATATTGGTCCCTGCCCCCTCCTTCTTGTCTAATTGTATAGAGATAAGACAGGTAAGATACCTGAGTCCAACAAAGCGAAGTTCAAGGTAGCCCAGCTTGTTACAGCGAAGCTAAGGCTCAAAACCAGGATTGTACTCCCCAAACACAGCGTCTTTATTTCCCCTTAGCTTTTGCTATATAATTTTTTTTCACTTCTAACATAAGAACATTTATTTGTCATCATGTCCTGGGTTGCTTCTCTCCCAAACCCCCATCCTGTGTGAGTCATGCTCCTCTCAGAGAAAATTTTAGTTGTATAAATGTTATGAATAAAGTGCCCTTAACTAGCATCCAAATATGCATTTCTATCACTAAGATATCTGGACCTCACTAGCAGTCTTCAGGTTTTGAATATTTGGTGAATCATGCAGAGGAAATGGACTTTCAGTGGAGGGGTGGCTGTGGAACTGAAGTCTGAGCAGCTCTTAGAAGCCTGCCAAACTCTTTAACCATTGACACTATTTTGTCCTGTGTTACCGAAGAAAATAATGTTAGTTTTCCATGTAAGGGTCTCATCTCACAAAAGTTGCGCCTATTGCAGAATAAGCTGTTGTTTTAAGGCTGCCAACGCCATAAATGGATACATTCAGAAAAGAGTCTTCACAGGAAAGCCTGTCTCTCCAGGGAGACCCATGGGACTTACGAGGTCCGGTAGCAGGGAAGAATATGTAAGAGTAAAACTCAGTGAATAACATAATGTATCTGCTGCTGCTGTGGCGGTCGTTAGATGCTTATCACTCTTCAAAGCATACTGTGAACAGGAGAGCTTTTTAATTGAAGCCCCGCTTTGGGCTATGAAATGTAACTTGACAACTGAGAAGGCAGCCGTTGATGTCACAAGTTGTCCTTACATGACGGGGTGTTTCATTTAACAACTCTGCAAAAATGGGGATTTCACAAACAAGTGTAATGCTTGCCCCACTAATTGGCTGATGGTAAAGAGCAAGTGAAACCACTTTATATCCTGAATCACAAGGTTTACCAAAAAAAAAAAAAAATCCTGTTGTTTCTGCAAGTAATAGTCATTGTGCTCAGGGACTCTCCTTTTAAGTATTGTAATAGGGGAAGAGAAATTGGGTAATGAGCTGTTGGGAGTATGGTTAAATATAAAATGTAGGCAGTAAGCGAGATGCTTATAAAATATAAGGTCATATTACTCTTTAACAAAAATACCCTGTTGAAAACCACTTGTACGTCAGAGGAAAACAAAACCAATATCCTTAAAAGATTGTTTGCAAATAAAGGCATCTAGATTTATTCCGCCTTTGCTGTACTGCTGCTTAGTACTTCTAAACTGTTAAGTCTCACACTTAAGTGAACCTTTGAGAATAATAAAGGATGTGGAATCAAATTCTCTTAAGCAGGCTTTTAAGCAAATCTATGGGACATTTTTGAGGGACCCTAATAGCCTGGTAAAAGTGAGGAGATCTGATTACTATGCTTTACCTATTAGCCATTTGATCTGGTAAAACCATCATTTTAAACAAATTAAGGATATGGAAGAAGGTTACTGAAATAGTTAATGGGGTCAGCTGTCCTATAAAACACCTCTCCAAGAGAACTGTTATCAATATAAATATTTAGCACTGCCTCTAGCATTTCCAGGCATATTTGAGATAGGAATAATTTTTTAGTTTCTCTCTGTGTACCAGGGAAATTTGATAGAAAGAAAAGTTACTTCTGCTACCTTGGTGGCCACCAGCTGGTCCCATGACTGCCCAGCTAAAGCTGGTTCTTCTTTCATAACCTGTATTTCCATGCCCTAGCTGTTTTCCAGAATCCACTCAGAGACCCAGCAGCCCTTCTTCCCACTTTCTCAAAACCCACAGCCTCAATTCTACCACCAGTCTGTAAACAACACAGCTATTTGTCCATCTCCATTGCCATAGTTGGTTCCAAAGTCCACACTCAACTTCAGTGTTTCCATAATATTTTTTCTGGCCTAACTCTTACTAAATAAAACAGAGTGTATGTTTGATCTCAGGTGGGGCACTTTTCTGGTGAAGTACTGTGCCACCATGGTAGTCAAGTTATCCTTACTTGATAAAGCCAGGATCTTTTAGTCCCACTTCACACCACAAGAAAGCTTTACATGGATTATCTCATTGAGCATCATGAGCAACCCCATGAGCCAGATACTATTATTCCTAATTTGCAAATACAGAAACTGAGACTGATCATGGATGGAGAACTTGCCCACTGCTGCACTATTGATCAGTGGGGGGACCAGCACTCAAGTCCAGACCTGGGCAGTCAGCATCCATGCCACACTGTGCAGCTTATCCAGATACTATATTCTCATCAGTGAAAACATCTTTCAAAACAGTTTTAGAAATTAAACTAAAGCTGATTAACCAGTTTTTGACTCTTCTGTTTTCTACTTTCTCCCCAACACACAGAGATCTATACTAGAGGTGGGAACTCCTATGGGAGACCTTGTGAATTTCCATTCTTAGTGAATGGGACCTGGCATCATGAGTGCGTTCGTGGTGGAGATCACAGTGGGCCATGGTGTGCAACCACCTTAAATTATGAGTATGATCAAAAGTGGGGCATCTGCTTACAACCAGGTATGTATGGGCTGGTAAACTTTACATGTGGGAAGAGAAGGATTCCATTCCTATGAGGCAAAAGGGAGAAGGACGAGTCCATGATGACTCAAAAATGACTACAGCAGATATCCTAGAGAAGGAGGCTATACTTGAGGAAGGAGAAGTTGTGTGTGGCTCTGAACTTACTTTCAGAAGTAGATCAGGAAGAGAGCCAAGACAGGATGTTGTCACGGAAGACAAAGGATAAGGAAGTGTTCTGTAGCACGGATACCTCAGGAAGAGGAAGTGGACCGGGCAGAAGCAGTTAGGAAATTGCTGCTGGCCTTTAATAGAGCAGTTTCAAAAACCTAATGGCTGTGGAAGGTCGGTTATAGTGGACTGAAGGAGAATAAGTGTCTTTCAAGACGGTGGAGACTTATGTATGTTTAGAACCTGAAGCAAAGAGTGGAGGACAAAAGAGAGATACCTCTGGCCCTCTCAAAATCGGTGACATTCTTCCCTCAGCTGTACCTGTATATTGATCAAAGCATTTTTTTCTAATTGCTTCTTACTTGAAGCATACTCTTCAGGGTGTGCTAAAAAGTTTACTGTTCTTTAGAAAGAGACCAACTGAAGCAATAGCTGCATCGTTATCTGGTATATAACAGACGTATATTCTCACCAGTTAGGTGAGAGTTACGGGGATTGCAGTAGACAACATGTGATAGGTGCTCAAGAAATATTTTTTAATGGACAATCAAGTTGAAAGAATCTACAGTAAAGAGAAAGGGAAAACCTACAGACCTAAGTAGTAATAGTCATTAGTTATAGGGCCCTGCCAGGTGTCAGGTAATATTCTAAGTACTCAACCTTCATTAACTCATTCAATCCTCACACAGTTCTATAAGGTAGGTACCATTATTTATCCCCACTTTGAGAATTACTTTTCTAGGCAGAGGCACAGGCTTTTCAGCACTTAGAAACCACTGGAAGATGAAAAGCCACTATTTGCTTCAGCTGTAATTGATGATAAGCAGAGTTTGGTCAACGAGGCACCAATTTCATTTAAATCTTACTATCGTCTGAATCAGAAATTTTAGGGATTGTGAAAGGGAGCTTAGAGATTACCCAGGGCATTTCTCAGAGGAGAAGCAGCAGACCTGGACTGCTGAAACGTCCTGCCGGGATCAGACCACATTCGTGTGGAGCCTGGTGTCGATCCCAGGCCTCCTGACCCTCATTCCCCAGCATACTTACCTCACTCTACCTTGCTGCCTTGACGGACATGTGCCTTTAGACTACTTTGGGTGAAAGGGGGAATTGTCAGCGCATTCATACGCCTCCTAGAGTTACTTTTTACGGAAGAAGCAGGAGTGTGAGTTTCTCAGACCTGAGGACTGCTAAACCCCGGAGATTGTATTTTATAGCAAATGCACTGCCATCTCACTAGAAGCTTCCAGACTTACAGGCATTTGGCCTTAGTGGTAATAAGGAACCTTTAGGCAGTGAGCTTGCAAATCCAACTATCTTGCTTTTACCAAATATCAGAACAGCCTCTGTTGTTATTTAGGACATTTGAAAGTGGCTGGAGAAGCCAGGCATGCCTTTCAGAAGATTAACACCACCAGACTCAGACACCAGTTCTCTGGTTATAGCTTTGCTGCCAACACACCTAGGTCTTTGTTCCCATCTGTGAAATGAAGACATTAGACAGGATGATCTCTAAGCGCCCTTCCAGGTTGAAGGTGTGTAAGTCCAACTAGTCATGGGAGACTCTGGGAGAAAACCCAGAGCCTGGGATACGCTTAGCACAGCCTGCACTGGTTTTCCCCTCTTGTAGGGAGTATGTGGGAGGCTCTGAGTATATTTTTGAACCAGTTGTATCAAGATCTATATATTTTGTCCCAGAAACAACTTGTAGTTTCTTCATCTGAAATTACACACGCTTTTCAGATACTTTATTAAAGAAAATAATGTTCACATGTGTGCATGTATGTTTACATACATATATATGCACACATATATGTACAGGTCGATATATAATGTATAATAATGTTAGTTATATAATATTAGTCATATATTAAATCATCTATTAAAATATTAAGGAGAAACTTGGACTGAGTTTCTGAAATAAGGTATCACTAGGGATCTAAATCTTGGGCACTGAAGCAGTGTGTCTGCCCACACACATGTGCATTCAGTGGTTTCACTGCAAACCAGGGGCAAACCCCTCTGCAGTCTGTCACCATTGTCAAGTCAGCTCGGGGTTGACAGAGTGAGCACAGGTGACGACTCCTACTTTTAGGCAGAGATAGGCATGGGCTAAAACATGGCATTGTAGATGATGAGGATAAAGAGAGAGTAGAGGATAGGAGAGTGGAAGCTTTAACCAGCTCAAGTCATGTGCTGTCTTATGGCTTCAGTTTCTTGATGTAAACAAAGAATCAAAATGTTGTCTAGTTGGGCAATGACAGCCTCAATTTTAGTATGTCCTTCAAGTATGCAAATTGAATTGTGGTATTTGTAAGCATTCTAAGTAATAGACAACACTGTACCCTTACTTTATGTTCACTAATGTGTCTTTTTATCAACAGAAAATGGCTGTGAAGATAATTGGGAAAAAGACGAGCAGATTGGAGGTTGCTACCAATTTAATACTCAGGCAGCTCTTTCTTGGAAAGAAGCTTATGTTTCATGTCAAAATCAAGGAGCTGACTTACTGAGCATCCACAGTGCTGCTGAGTTAACTTATCTTAAAGGTAAGTTTCCCTTGGTGGTAGAGCACATTGCTGAGAATATAAAGGTGCTGTCTGCCTTCTGCTTTCATATCTAGGTATGTTGTTTTGTGTATATATTTCTCTATCTTTTCTTGGGATTTAAACTTCAACATTGAAGCCTACAAGCAAAAAGTACTAAATATATTCCTATTCTATCCATTGAAAATGGATTTCATGATAGAGACCAAAGAGAGGTTAATATTCAGAAAATGAGGTAAGGTAGCAAGGTTAAACTGCTGCCGAAGCCTGCATGAAAGGGTTTGATGGTGGGCATTAAACTCTTTCACCCACTTCTCTCTCTGCTCCCCCTCTGGTAGTCATTACTCTGTTCTCTGTATCTTTGTGTTTGTTTTTGCGTGGCTTGGTTTATTCATTTATTTTATTTGTTATTTTAAAAATATTTCACATATGAGTGAAATCATATGATATTTGTCTTTTTCCATTTGACTAATTTCACTTAGCACAATACTGTCAAGGTCTCCCAATGACATTTTCCATAGAAATAGAACAAAAAAATCCTATGATTTATATGGAACCACAAAAGACCCCAAATAGCCAAAGCAATCCTGAGAAAGAACAAAACTGGAGGTATCCATCATATGGTTGAGAGATATAAATATTATATACATATATATGTATATAAAATACTGTAATACATTGAGTATAATTCTCTGGGAGGAATTAAGAAACTGTTATGAAGTGTTTTACTGCTGGGAATATTTGAAGAAATTTGTAGAGATTCTAACCTGTGAGTTCTTCCTGTTTGTTTGTCAGCATCATCCTTGCCTTCTGTAGTTGATTTCTTCTTCTACCTGGCCCTCAATATCTTCAAATTCTTCGTGATGTTGATAAAGTCTTACCAGGTTCTTGAATAATAGTGTTGATTTCCTTGACAGTGGTGTGAGAATCCTTACAGTCATTCATATGTTCTTTTCATTCTTTTTTCAATACATGTGGACCCATACAACAAACATAATTGCATCCAGTGCTTATGAGCATGTGCATAATGAGTGGCACATCAGCAATTAGCTTCACTATTTAAATTATTTCTCTTTTTTCTCTTTTATTCTAATGTCATCTAGTTGTCAAATAATAAATTCGAATGATGCATCTCCACTGTAACACGTGTGTGTGTGTGTGTATCCCAGTCTGTTTCTCCGGCCTTAATATCTCCTTTGGGCTCTAGAATTGTATATCCTTTGCCTATGAAACAGCTCTGCACTTATTTCTGAAACAGTACTGTTAACTCTTCACCATTTTGGGGACCTGTATCTGTTTCCTTCTACTAGATCGAAATCCTCATGAAGGCAGGGACTTTGTTGTTTGGTTTTTACATCCTTAACACCTGGCAAATAATATGTGCTTAATGAATTTAAACTGCCAGTCTGAAATGTAATCACACCTTCAAAATCTAGGTATGGAATGGAATCTGCTTTTTCCTTATCAGTACAAGAGGGTTAAAAAGATAGTGAAACAGCTACTCTGAGAAGATTCTGTCCTTACCTTAGATGAAAGGGAATTGGACAAGCTAATGGGAAAGCAGAACTGAATTAACTGAGCAGCCTCTGGCTTTCTCAAGAGACTGCAATTTTGTTGCCTCTCAGCATCGCCTGCCTTTGTTCGATTGACAGCCTCCTACAGGGTTCCTGCCTTATAATCAAAGCCTTCAGATATTTTTGCTGTTAGTGGAAACTGAAGTCTTAGAAAATAACAAGTAATTTTTTCACTTTTTAAAATTGTCTAATTCTTACAGAAAAAGAAGGCATTGCCAGAATTTTCTGGATTGGTTTAAATCAGCTGTATTCTGCTAGAGGCTGGGAGTGGTCAGACCACAAGCCGTTAAACTTTCTCAGCTGGGAACCAGGTAACTGCTCCCTCCTCCACTTCCTGTGCACAAAGCATTAGCTTCAAAAAAAATAAATAAATAAAAGCGTCCCACTCCCTGAGAGCTGATACAAATTCTAAACCTGATAACTCTTTATTATGGTTACCTCTCAGCAGAATTTTGTTTCCAAAGACCTTCTTTATTGTGATACCATTATAGCCAAGTTGACCCCTACCAGGGCCAACTGAGCATTTGTTCCTAATCTTTAGAGGGACCCTGTATTTTTAGGTAAGAGCAGAATGAGCCCCCCTCCATGGCCCAGGAACCATTCTGTGTCCCTAAGAGGACCTGACATGTCTATGACTGACCCATGTTGTGTCTCATCTGCAGCATAAGTCTAATATGGAAATAGTCCCTCATAATCAAGCTCTTGGAGTCTTCCACTGCAGCCCACAAGTACTGACAACATAATGGTTCTAGTTTAATACACAAATAAATACTTTAAAGAAAATTTTATAGTGAATAAAACAAAACTAGTTAGCCAAAAGGTTTTTTTCCCCCAAAACAGAAGGTTTAGATGCTTTTTTTAAAAAAATAAAATCTTAGGCTTCTGACAAATATGGAATGTAAAAGGTAACACTAACTTCAGTACAAAAGTGTTGTGTATACATATAAGAAAAACGAGTTAAGCACAATGCCATTTTCATTAAGAGAATTTTAAATCTTTAATTCCAGACCTTAAAGGCATGACGGAATCAGAAGTTAGTATTTTTATTGTACAGGGTAGCAATTAAGAGCTACTGACCACAGGATATGGCATACAAGTTGTTTAGGGGCAGAGGTTTGAATTTGTTTTTTTTTTTTTAATTAACTCCAACATTTCAGAATGTTTCCCCCTGTATCCTATATTTGAAAAGACGTAAGTCAGCACATGATTGCCCATGGAGGCTAATACATTTCAACTTTGGAAACAGTGTTAACTGTGTTATGAGTTTCCATAAAAGCTGAAAATTAGGAATACAAATTAATTTTTCTAACCACCATCCTGGCCCTAACCTCCTTCTTGTAACTCTTTGGAAATCCTCCTGTTTAAGGTATGCGGAGCACACCTACAATCGGCGGATCGAGCTGTGCAAGAATGAATGCTGACTCAGGTCTGTGGCAGGGCTTTTCCTGTGAGGCCCAGCTGCCCTACGTCTGCAAGAAATCGCTAAATCATACAGCGCAGTTGACAGGTACCTCCTCACTTCTCTGACGAAGAGGTCTCGAAATTAGTTTTGTGAAGTCAAGTAAATCATTCCAGATACCTCTTTTCCCTCTCTTTCACCTGATACTGCCAGTGCAGGAAAGCCTTTGATTTTGACCCTGTGTTAGAGACTATCAACTATGCGTGAATAAGGCTTTGGTTTGGTATATGCCCATAAGAAGGCAGAGGTGGTCTAGACAGGAAATAGATTTCTGTTCACAGGTGGCTCGTCTTTCTCTGGAGCAGTGGTTCCCCAGACCATGAGCATCAGCTTCATCTGCACCTGTTAGAACTGCAAATGCTTAGGACCTACTCCAGATGTACTGAATCAAACTCTAAGGGTGGGCCCCAGCGATCTGTGTTTAAAAAAAAAAACAAACTTCCAGGCGGTCCTGACACAGACTCAAGTATGAGAGCCACTGCCTCTGTGAGAAGTGAAAAATGATGGACACAGGCACGTTCCTAGGCTTTTCTACCCCCTGCCCCACCCAGAGCCCACCCATCCACCTCTCTCCTTCTTCCAGGCTGATTCTTTAGGTCTTTGTGTTGCTAAATCAAGGGGAAAGGGGTGGTACAGATGGATGAAATACGTACACAGAGGAGTTTTTCTCAGGGAGTTTGGGGTGAGACACAGTACAGCTGAAGCTTTTGAGGTGCAGAAAAGTTCGAGGAGTCTTTGAAAGAATAGAGAAGAGAAATGCCCTTACTGTCTGGCACAGGGATTACCGTATACCTGGTGTTTAATTAAATCCTCACTGAATAAGAAAAACTAATACTTAAAACTGGGAGAAAAAGAGGAGGTTTTAAAATGTCTTGCTTTAAGAAATGTTGGGGGAAGAGAATGAAGCATAAAATTTCGTATCATCCAAATAGGCACATAAAGCCAATTTTTAAGATTAAGAAATAATAGGGGAAAATGAACATTCATCTTCCAAGTTGATTAAAACCAAATGTAGTCCATACAACAAAAGGCAGAGCAGAAACGACAGCACAGATGAAAATAAACCAGGGTGACTGATGATGGATCAAATAAATACCCTGTAGTAGCAATTATTAAGTAAATCATGATGTTTCCACATGGTTGAATAATATGCACTTATTAAAATAAGTGTGCCAGCAGGGAAATACAAAAAGCAGAACAAACTCATATGTGTTCTTATCATTTTAATCTTGTGAAAACATGTATTCATAGAGACAAAGACTAGAATATGAGAATAATTATTTTAAGTTCCATTATGGGTGTTTTTCCCCTCTGTTCCTTTCTTATAATTGTAAAATATAATAAGTGCTATTTCAGAACCTTAAAGTTAATTAAGTTACTTTGCAAGTGTGAGAAGCTAAATCTGAATTTTATCCTTTAGAAGAAAACAAACTGACTACATTTTTAAGATACTGTATTTTCTTATAACCAACATTCCAAATGGTTCCAATTTTTAAGATACTGTATTTTCTTATAACCAACATTCCAAATGGTTCCAAATCCATGAAGCTGAATAGTTGAACTACTTTCTAGTTCTGTTAAGAGGGGTAGAAATATTTTATATGGTTTATACCTCACTCTTTTTCTCTAATCTTTCTTGACCATCACTTGAGTGAGTTTTATTATAGTCAAAACAATGAATCCCTTGTTCCCACAAGGACTACAAGTCTAGCAGAGGGGAGGAAGGAAGAGGTCCATTTGGATATGCTGCCGTTTTTTGGATATGAAGTATATAAATGTCTTACTCTGTTCCTTAAATTTCTGCCTGTTCTTTGTTCAGCAGTGGACATTAATGAACATTCCCTTGCTAAGCTGACCATACATGAAAAAGAGGCTCAACTTCATAATCTCTCAAAGACAGAGAACGGAGAGGAACCTAACAAATCCTGTACTCAGGCAAAGACTTGTTAGCAACTGCACACCTTTCTTCTGTCTACTAGGAACAAGGACAATACCTCTCTAAATAGTCTGTGCCCAGCCATTTTGCACATTTGTATCACTTTAAAGTCACATTATTAACTGTATCCTTGTAGTCACTCTTATGATACTGTGTACACATTAGGCAGCACATAAATTCATGTCACTGTGCTATCTGACATCACATTCTCCAGTGTTCCAGAACACTATGATTCAAGAAAGAAGGATTTGCAGTGTTATTGATTCAAGGTAGATATGTCTTTACTAGAATATAAATAGCTTCTTTTCCCTCAGATGTTTGGACATACTCCGATACCCGCTGTGATGCAGCAGACTGGCTGCCAAATGATGGATTTTGCTATCTGCTGGTAAATGAAAGTGATTCCTGGGGGAAGGCACATATGAAATGCAAAACTTTCAGCAGTGACCTCATCAGCATTCATTCTTTAGCAGATGTGGAGGTGGTTGTCACAAAACTCCATAATGGGGGTAAGTTTTTAAAATATTCTCTTTGAGAGGTTTGAAACATTTAAAAATATCTCTATTTTCAGGCACTTAGCAGGAATGAGAAGCTTACAGTTTGATCCTGAACATCAGCATTGTCCGATAAAATTTTCTGCAGTGCTGGACCCACTCTTTAATCTGTGCCGTCCAGTTCGGTAGCCACCAGCCACTTGTGGCTTTTGAGCCCTTGAAATGTAACTAGGGCAACTGGAGAACTAAAGTTTTACTTTATTTAATTTTAACTGATTTACAAATTTAAATAGCCACAGGTGGCTAGTGGCTACCAATTTGGCAGTACAACCATTGATTGAATAATTTATAAGCTAAATACTATTCAAATTGCTCCAAACACTTAAGTGATGGTTATTTCACTTTTGTAATTACTTGAAAGCTGAAGAATGAAGAACAAAACACTAGACAGCCACATTATAACCTTGTCCTAGGATTCTCCAATAGTGATAGCAAATAATACCTGTTCTGTGCCAGTGTGGTGCCAGCTGGTTCACCTGGGAGGACAGTATAGGTAGCCATCCCATGGCAGGGCTGGACAATATTCCCATTTTAATTCTAATATCTATAATTGTATTTGTAGAATGTCATTATTTCCCATAAAGAAAGTTTTATCTAAACCAGGTATCAGGAAGCCTCAGCCTACGGATCATAGTACAGCTCTTCCCGCTGGGTACCCGACCTACATAAGTGACCTGAAAAGCCCTCGTCACCGGGCCTGCCTAACTTGTCAGCATTTTTATAGATTAGTTAAGAATAACATCTTCTGAACTAAAACCTTCTAGGCTCTTCACACCCCATATCAGGATGTAAAAATCAGTAACAGTGTACATATTAAAGTATGGAATTGAGTAACCAAACAAATAAAACATTTTTCTTTCAGATGCCAAAGAAGAAATATGGACAGGCCTCAGGAACATAAATACACCGACTCTATTTCAGTGGTCAGATGGTACTGAAGTTACTCTAACTTACTGGGATGAGAATGAGCCAGATGTTCCCTACAATAAGACTCCCAACTGCGTTTCCTATTCAGGAAAGGTAGGAAGCCGCCCTGGGTTTATTTATATCCTCATTGTTACAGCCAGTAGTCTAATAATAACATGAAGATGACTTTGGTTGGGGTATTTTTGTTTGAACTGGGAAATAAAAGTAACAGCACTGTAGATTGTCTTTGTAGGAGCTGCTGAAAAAAGTAAATGAAGCAACCTCTAAAGCAGCAGTCCAGTTCCTGTCGGAGAGCATCTGCTCTGGTGTGAAACAGATCAAGAGAATCCCTTTAGAGCTCCAGTTCTCGTGCCGGAGTGGTTCTGATAAGCTGCTTTCTCTCAGGACCATCAGGGCAATATTTCACGTGTAGCCACTGTTTAACCTGAAAAACCCCATCTTCTCATGTTTAGATCAAGTGTAATGTTAATACTACTTGGAGAAGTGAAATAATATTTGTTTTAAAAAATATTAGGTCTGACTTTGTTCAGAGAACATCTTACGCCTATAAAATGCATAAATATTTATTGAACATGCTTCAGTTAAGAGTCCAAAATAAGCTGTATCTTGAGCCAAAAGGACGTATGCACCCCTATATTTTTGTTTGTACCACTTTCCTGTGACCTCCTAATTGTTTCTAGGAGGCTGATTGTGTCACCCAAACTTCTAGAGAGACTTAAATGTAAGCAATAAATGGTAGGGCTGTTTAGAAGTGTTTCCATAGTAAAGGTGTATTTAGAAAGGTGTAAAGCTGAATTTAGAAGGGTATCACATTTGCTATTCTACTTAAGAGGATACACAGGATATCTTTAAAAGAGTGTCAAAGATAGAAATGAGGTCCCATAGGCCAGAGCAAACTGATGGCATACCTAGACAGCATTCCAACGTTCAAAACTGACCCTGATCACAAATGACTTACTAAAATTTAATTGGAAGAAAGCAGAGTGACTTAAGCAAAATAAATATTCAGCAGCATATTTGAAAGACAGAACTTTGACATCTAGACTGAAGTACAGTTAGAAGAAACTTTTGATTCTAAAATTCTTAGAGAGTAACTATTCTAATCATCACCTTACATATGAGGAAACTGAGACAGGGTGGTTAGGTGACCTGCCCAAAAGTTGTGAACCTGTGGACGAACTTTGGCCGTGTCATGGAGGACGACGAGAGCACTGGCAGCTCTTTGTGAGCTGGGTCCTTCTCTCTTCAACCTCTATACTAAGTGTCCTTTGATGGTTTTATTGTTACTGTCATAAGAAAATGAAATTCATCCCCACTGTGACCTTGAGGTGATGCCGAAATAATAGGCTTCCAGGCCTGGGGGTAGCATTTTCTAGGAGTCTGTTCTCAGATTTAATCATTCATTTATATTCATTCTCTCCCCCTCCCTTTCCTCCTTCCCCTCCTCCTCCTCCTCTCCCTCCCTTTAGGTGTGAGAAGAAGCTATCTTGATTAAAATGAGTTAAGTTCTAAATATGTGGCAGAGAACTTCTCTTGTGGGAAAAATTATTTTCTGTTTTTTAAAAGCTAGGTCAGTGGAAGGTCCAATCATGTGAAGAGAAACTTAAATATGTATGTAAGAAAAAGGGACAAAAATTGAATGATACAAGATCTGATAAGATGTGTCCTCCAGATGAGGTAAGTAAAACCCCTGTATAAATTTTTCTAAGCAGTATTACACCTTCTTGGTTAGAGATGGTAGTTGAGACTTAAACAATTTAGACTTGGGAAATAGAAGAATTCACTAGCTTCTGTTCATTGACATTAGAGCAAGCCAGAAAACAATGAATGAGTCATAGTGTATCAGCATTCTTAGAAAAGAAAGAAAAGTTACAGGAAAAAAATTACTTACTAATGAATTTCTATAAAAATGTATATGATTATTATCCTCAATGCTGATTTCTTACTTCTACTTATATTATTCTTATTCAAAAATCATTGAACCAATGACTGTTATACTCTTATGATGAGCTAGGCACTAGGGGATAAAGAAAATTAGGACATACCTGCTGTCCGACACAGGCTCCCAGTCTTATGGACGTTATCCATGAAATTGTATCCCACCCTCATCATGTCCTTCATTTCTGTAAGTTGTAAGACGTTACCAACGTAGCAGAACCTTGCATGTCAGAGGGGGACATAATCAAATCTGGAAGACAGTATGATGGTATTTTTCCTCTAATACAGGACTGGAAAAGACATGGAGAAACCTGTTACAAGATTTACAAGGATGAGGTCCCTTTTGGAACCAACTGCAATCTGACTATAACTAGCAGGTGTGACCATCTGTAAACATGTACTAGTGAACTTTTAACTCTTAGTTCCTTTTCTAAATAACCTTCATAAGAGAAAGGTGCTCTACACTGGAATTTGACACAACATTGTAAAATGACTATAACTCAATAAAAAAAAAGTTAAAAAAAAACAAAAACAAAAAAGGTGCATCTTCAATTTATATAGTAATTCAGCCATTCTGAAAACACCTACTGATTTGACTCTCATTTTGTAGATTTGAGCAAGAATACCTGAATGATATGATTAAAAAGTATACTAAGTCTCCAGGCAAATACTTCTGGACTGGCCTGAGAGATACAGATGCAAGTGGAGAATATAGCTGGGCAAGTGTTGGTGGAGTAAAGCGGGCTGTTACCTTTTCCAACTGGAATTATCTTGAGCCAGGTGAGTGCCTTGGCCTTTAAAGTAGCAGAACACAGTGACTTGGGAGATGCAGCTCTCCTCCCAAATCTGTTCTTCACTTACCTTTGAAATATGAAGGGGCTGATGATCTTCAGGGCTGTCACAGAGTCTATCTACGGAACCATAAATAGAAGCAGTGACTGCATCTTCCCTGTGAAATCCTCGGAAACTGCCCAAAAAACCCCAGAAAACTTGGTTCTCAAAAACCACCACCTAATGGCACAGAGCTAGAAGAGTCAGTGTGACATTTTTATCTTTTCCATGTAAGTCTCAAACAGCATCTGGAAGCTTCATTGTGGAGCACTTTACATTTTCATCTCTCTGCCTCTTAACTTCTTTCTCCAAAATTGAGTGTGTTTATTTCCATTATTCTCAATGGGTGAGAATTCAGGAGGCAATGTATTGTAGATTCTGTTTATTCTGGAAGTTAGTTTATCCTTCTTTAACCAGCCTAAAAGTACTGACCATAATTAGCCATAGAAGCAGAACATTTGAGCCAGGAAAGGCTTCAGAAGTCCCTTCTGATTTTAGAGTTAAGAAGGCAGAGAGGCTTAGAAAGGTGATTTACTTGACAAAGGTTACCTGGTTATTGAATTGCTAAAATCCAGATCTCCTGGTTTTTAATCCAATGCTTGTTAGAGGATTTTGGCTTTGTATGGGACAGCAGTTGTAAAGCATTTGACTTTTCTTCCTCTGAATTATTTATATTTTCTTGTGTTTGTATAATGTGATCATGAAGACCATTTTTTATAACAGAGAAACAAATGTGTGAATGTGTAGTTAAGCACAATATTTGAAATAGATTATGCCCATAAAATTTGTAACATAGGGTCATCACATAAAGTAAGTGCCATTGATAATAACAAGCTCATTTTTTCGCTTGTAGAAGATGGAGGATACAGATGCTAATCCAGGTTAAATTTCATCTTAAATTAAGAAAGTCTGATACAGAAAACACGTGATTTCTTTTATAGACACTTAGATGTCTTAGAGTCAATGTCACATTTTTCACGGATAAGCCTCAGTGGTTGGAAGGGTGCTCAGGAAGGAGCTATAACGGCTATTCTCTCAGTCCTGTAGCCAGAAAGACTGCCCTTGAGCCCTCTTTACCATTATTACTCCCAGATTCAGCCAGCTTGGTCTGCAGTAGGCAAGCCATGGGTAGGGGGCAGACAAGGGGAGCATAGCACCCCCTTCCAGGGTAACACAGCATTGTTTTTCCCAGTTCCTTGTTCCTCTTGCTGTCCATGTATGATGAGACATGAGACCATACAGCTTTTCTGTGTGATGGAATGGAAGTTGTTCTCATCACTTTGCGACATATACTCTTCTTGTCCTGTGCCCACTTTAGACAGTGTGACGGAATGGAAAAGGGAGAATGGCATTTTGCCGGACAAATCTGGGTTCAAGTTCTGACTCCACCATTCACTAACTGTGGTTGTGGGCAAGCCACTCATTCTCCCTCTGGAAATGGGTCTGGCAGTACAAACTGTCATTAAATGTTGTCGTGAATAAATAAAATTCTGGCTGCCGCAAAATAAATAGTAAACAAATATATGTTACCTACACACCTCCTTCTACCTTTATCGGACCAGCCCTGGCTTTGGATCTGAACCTGGGAGAGTTTTGTTTTGAAGTTTACTAAGGCGCTTAAAAACTGTTGAAAGTTGCCAGGTGAATATGAGCGACTTAGGCTATTCTGAGCATCATTGTGGTTTAGGGTACAGCTCTGCACACACACCGCCTGAATTGCAATCCCGGGTCAACCATTTACTAACATGCAACCTTGGACAAATCACGAATCCTCACTGTACTTCAATATGACAGTAGAATCTACTCTATAGTTTTTTTGTGAGGATCAATTCACTTAATCCTCTTAGAATAGTACCCAGCAAAAAGTAAACACTCTCTATATTACCATCATCATTACTATTGTGAACAACACATCTATTTTGTCCATTTGTTTTCCTACTCTCTCTCCTCACCTTGAGTCAAACATAGGGTGTAGGCACTAGAAAATGTTTGGACTTTAATTTTTAAATGTAATTTTTAATTATACTTTTTAATTCAACTCCAGCTTCTCCAGGAGGGTGTGTGGCCATGGCTACTGGAAAGTCTCTTGGAAAGTGGGAGGTAAAAGACTGCAGAAGCTTCAGAGCACTTTCAATTTGCAAAAAAATAAGTGAGCCTCCTAAGCCTGAAAAAGCAGCCCCCAAGCCTGAAGACCCCTGTCCTGAAGGCTGGCATAGTTTCCCCTCAGGTCTTTCTTGTTATAAGGTAAAGTAATGTTCTCATTCAATCCTTGAATGAAGTTATCTC